AAGAATTATCTATGTGAGATCAGATTGACAACAGCAACTCAAAAGGTTTGATGGGAAGCCTAGGGGACAGTGAGTTGAAGACAATGGTGATGGAATAATTTGAAAAAGGAGAGTGAGAATAGCAGCACAACTGGAAGAATGTAATTGATGTCACTGAATTGTACATGTGGAAATTTTTGAAATGGTGTATCTTTCGCTATGTATATTTTCACCCCCCCAAAAAAAAGGGTCCTCCAAGGTCGAGAAGGGAGAGTGTTGACAAGTTGTGGGGTTGTTAACCAATGTCATAAAACTGACTGTTTAATGAGAAACTATTTGTTCTGTAAACCTTCATCTAAAGTACAACAAAAAAAAAAAATTAAAAAATGAAAAGGCATCCAGATTGAAAAGGAAAAAAAAAGACTGTGGAACTATTGCTATTTACATATGACATAATCTTGTACATAGAAAACCCTAAGGAATTCACTAAAAAACTATTAGAATTAACAAATGAGTTCAGCATGGTTGCAGGATACAAGATCAATATACAAAAATCAATTGTATTTTTATACACTTGCATGAACACCCCAAAAATTAGAATAAGTTCTATTTATAATAGCATTAAAAAGAATAAAATACATAGGAATAAATTTAACAAAAGAAGTGCAAAACTTATACTCTAAAAACTCCAAAACATTGTTGAAAGAAGACTTAAATAAATGGAGCAAATAATCTGAGAAGATTGACTATATGAAGAAGAACCTGGCATCAGGATTGGAGGAAGACTCATTAACAACCTGCGATATGTAGATGACACAACCTTGCTTGCTGGAAGTGAAGAGGACTTAAAGCACTTACTGATGAAATAGGGATTACACCTCAACATCAAGAAAACAAAAATCCTCACAAATGGACCAATAAGCAACATCATGATAAATGGAGAAAATACTGAAATTGTTAAGGATTTCATTTTACTTGGATCCACAATCAATACCCATGGAAGCAGCAGTCAAGAAATCAAAGGACCACTCAATAAGTGTATGCTATTATTATTCCACCAGGAGAGCAAAACCATTTCTTTCACTTCTTTGACCAGTTACCTCTCTTTTACCTGAGATTACATCTAAATAATTCAATTAATATTTGATATCATTTGTCTATATTCAGACCTATGGCAACATAATTGTCCTATTTGACCTTTGCTATCACTTCACAGGAAACCTTGGTGGTGTAAGAGTTTGGCTGCTAACCAAAGGTCGGCAGTCCAAATCCACCAGTGTCCTCTGAGTTGTCTCTTGTTCCTGTTGCAAAGTTCCTTCAGGGAAGGTGTGCTTTCCACTACTCCCAAACACAAAGGTACATGGGGATTTTTCTGGTATTCCCTCATGGAAAAAAAAAAAAAAACAACATATTGCATTGGACAAATCTGCTGCAAAAGACTTCTTTACAATGTTAAGAAGCAAAGATGTCACTTTGACGACTAAGGTTTGCCTCACCCAAGCCATGGTATTTTCAATCGCATCATATGCATGCGAAATCTGGACAATGAATAAACAAGACTGAAGAAGAATTGATGCATTTAAATTATGGTGTTGGCGAAGAATACTGAATATACCATGGACTGCGAAAAGAACAAACAAATCTGTCTTGGAAGAAGTACAGCCAGAATGCTCCTTAGAAGTGAGGATGGCAATACTTTGTCTCACGTACTTTGGACATGTTATTAGGAAGGACCAGTCCATGGAGAAGGACATCATGCTTAGTAAAGTAGAGGGTCAGCAAAAAAGAGGAAGACCCTCAAGGGGATGGAATGACACAGTGGCTGTAACAATGAGCTCACACATAGCAACGATTATGAGTATGGCGCAGGACTGGGCAGTGTTTCACTCTATTATACATGGGGTCACTAGGAGTTGGAATCGGCTCAATGACACCTAAGAACAACAAATAAATGGAAAGACATCCTGTGTTGATGGATTGGAGGACTTAATATTGTTAAGATGGCAATACTCCCCAAACTGATCTATAGATTCAACACAATCCCTATCAATATCCCAGCTGGCTTCTTTGCATAAATTGACAAGTTGATCCTAAAATGCATATGAAAATGCAAGGGATCCAGAATAGCCAAAACCATCTTGAAGAGAACAAAGTTAGAAGACTCACACTGCCTGATTTCAAAACTTTCTACAAAGTTACAATAATCAAGGTGGTATGGTACTGGCAAAAGGATAAACATATAGTCAATGGAACAGAATTGAGAATCCAGAAATAAACCCTCACACTTATGGTCAATGATTTTTAACAAGAGTACCAAGAAAATTCCATGAGGGAAAATTAGTCTTTTCAACAAATGGTGATAGGACAACTGGATATCCACATGCAAAAGAATGAAGTTAGACTCCTACTGTACACTATACACAAAAACTAACTCAAAATAATAAGAGACCTGAATTTAAGAGCTAAAACTATAAAACTCATAGGAAAAACATAGAGGCAAACCTTTATGACTGTGAATATGGCAAGGTTTCTTAGATCTAACACCAAAAGCATAGGCAAAAAAAGACAAAATAGATAAATTAGACTTCATTAATATTAAAAATTTGGGGGCATCAAGGGACACTATCAAGAGAGTTAAAAGTCAGCCCACAGAATGTGAGAAAATATTTGCAAATCATGTATCTGATAAGAGTCTATTATCCAGAATATATAAAGAACAGCTACAATTAAACAGCAAAAAGAGAAGCAACTCAGTTAGAAAATAGACAAAGGACTTGAACAGGAACTTCTCCAAAGAAGATATACAATTGCCAATAAGCACATGAAAAGATGCTAAATATCATTAGTCATTAGGGAAATGCAAATTAAAGCCAAAATGAAATACCATTTTATATCTACTAGGGGAGCTAAATTGAAAAAAAGGAAAATAACAAATGCTGGCAAGGATGTGGATAAATTGGAACCTTGTGCATTGCTGGTGAGAATGTAAAATGGTACAGCTGCTGTGGGAAACAGTTTGGCAGTTCCTCAAAAAGTTAAACATAGAATTACCATATGACCCAGCTATTCCACTCCTAGGTATATACTTAAGAGAAATAAAAACATATGTTCACACAAAAACTTGGACTCAAATGTTAATACAGAATTATTCACAAAATCAAAAGGTAGAAAAAAACCAAGTGTCTATCAACAGATAAATAAACAAAATGTGGTATATTCATACAATGGAATGTTATTTGGACATAAAAAACAATAAAGTTTGGCAACATGCTACAATATGGATGAACTTTGAAAACATTATGCCAAAGAAGTTAGACACAAAAGGCCACATATGGTATGATTCCATTTATATGAAATGTCCAGAATAGGCAATTCTATAGAGACAGCTACTGTTGACCAGATCCTAAAAAGGATGAGGCAAGAGCGTTCAGAATAGTGACCTCACTCATCCTCATGGTGATGGGAAGGGAAGTTCAGAGACTAGGCAGGAAAGTAATCATGGCCAGGGGTCATCAACCACAGCCCACAGATATGTGAGATTTCAAAAGTTCTGGTGGTCGTCACAGCTGGGAGCAAGGCCAGGTGGAAGCAAAGGGGAGGCAGCCCCACACTGTCCTGTGGAGATATCCAAGGCCCGGATGGAAACAGGAGCCAGGCTGTAAGACAACCGAACAACGATGCCAAGCTTGCAGAGCGTCAAAGACATGAAGGGCGGTTCTGGAGCAAGGATGAAGTGCAATGGTCCAAGCCTTGCTATTCCCTTGCTGTTCCCAAATAACTGCTTCTCTGGACCGTGTGACCGTGATGTCCAGGGCATCCTGAGGCATTCCGGGCCCACTCCAGCCCCACCGCCTCCTAGAGGTCTGCTCACTTGTCATTCTCTTTCACGCACGTTCACCTCTTAGAATTCCACCTCACATTAAACTGTTCCACAAACCATCCTGCCCTGGGGAAAACTGTTTCTTAGGCCGTCTTAGAATGTGCCTTCCAGGAAGTCCCTCCTTGAGAATGGCTGAGACACAACGTAGCCCAGTGAAGTTCCAGTCCCACACGCAGGGCACTGTGCCTTGGTTTCTCTCTGCCTTCAGAAGGCAGGTGGTCGGCGGAGTTCTGGGGAAGTCAGGGGAATGATGGGCTTAGGGCTGATGGGTCGTTAGGCAATTGGTCCTGGTGTCTGGGCTGCTGGCCCCCAACAGTCCTGTTTCCTTGTCCACTGTTTCCTTGGAGCAGACTTCCTGGTTCTCCCTGAGTGCCAGGGCCCCTTTTGGGTCCAGCCTGGTCCTAGGACTCCAGAGTTGGCAGAGGGTACCCCACAGATCATGGGTGAGTCTGGCTGTCCCTGGACTGGCACCATTCTTCCCTCCCCCCTCTAAAGTAGGGAGTGTGCCCCTGAGTGTCCTGGTAGTGAGGTCTCTGAGGCCCCAGCCCTCCTGGAGACATGGACCTCCTGCATTACCTTCTGTTCTGTCTTGACTTTGGCATTGTAGAAGGAGACGGAGTCAGGGCCCTCGGGCAGCACTGTCTGCTGCAGCTGGCTGAATCTGTCCTGGTCATCTTCTCCCTGAGAAGGCCCACATCAACCAGAGTCCCTTCAGCCTGGTTTTGCAAACCCCCACCTAGGCAGCTCACAATACCCCTAGCCCCCGTGTTTGCCCATCCCCAGAGACACCCTGTCACTGCCACCTGGGCAGGATAAGCCACCCCAGAAGGGTGGCAGCAGCAAGACTGGTGTTTGCTGTGCTGCCCCCACCACTTGATACCCAGGGAGAGGCCTGTACCTGTCCACCTGCCTGGGCTAGCCTTGGGAGAGGCTGAGAGCACCCCGCATACTGCTATGTTCATGGTGAGCACAGAGGACAAGGGGCACTGCCCATGCTCAGCCGTCACCCTTGCCCCTGCCCTTGTGCTGCTCACCAGAGACACAATCCTGTTGACAGGAACCATGCCTGGCCGGATGCTGCCACACGGCTTCAGTGCCACCTGCGTGTCTTCAGGGATGATGAAGGACTCGTTGTACCAGATGTCAAATTCTGCAAGAAAGCGAGGAGAGAGCACCGTGAGGTGTAGGGGAGCCCCTGAGGAAGCGGGCAAAAGCTGTGTGTGCCTGTCTGTGTGTCTGTCTTGTGCCTGTCCCAGGCTCGCCCTTGTTCACTTGCTGCCCGAGAGTCTCACCCTGTCCCCATCTCTGTCTCCAGTCCTCACAGTCCTGAAAACCATACATCTGAAGCCCCTGCCCGGCCACTGCTTCTGACAGAGAGAGGCTCCAAAGCCACTTCCAGAACCTGACCTGTGGCCCTGCCCCATGCCTCCCTGGACTTCAGGTGGTCAGCCAACCTTCCCAACTGGTGCACCTGTAAGCAGGCGGTGGCGACACTGATCCACCAGGTGCTGGCAGTACTGGATCTCAGCCCTGAGGTCGCGCAGGTCCTGGTACTCGCTGCGGTACTGCTTCTTGAGGTCTTTGAGCTTCAGGATCAGCAGGAATTCCTCCTCATCAATGATCATCAGCCCCTTGTTCTCATACTCACCTGCAGGAGGATGGGGGAGGTCAGGAAGTGAGGAGGCGCTCCCCTGGGGTGGGGGGAGGAAGGCATTCAGGAAAGAGGCAACAGTGCTGGCAAAGCACGAAGATAGGAGCCCAGAAGAAGGGCTGGGCATGGCATAGAGGTGGGCACAGCATGAGGGTAGGCTGGGCAGCCAGGACATGTCTTACGGGGCGGGGGCCTCAGATCAGAGGGCTCACACTGGCATTTTAGGAGAAATAGGAGGGGTGGGTAGAGAAAAGGGTAGAGATGACCTATGCTCCACACTTATTTTGACCTTGCACCCCATGAGTCAAAGATATGCACCAAGCACCCCATTACACGAATATTTACTTTGTTTTTATAAACTATATCCATGAATTGGCATCGCTGGCTAATACCACAAGGCACTTGGGGCAAGGTTCATCGTTGATGACAGTGGACGTAAATCCGCATCTCAAATTATCTTCTTGATGATTCCAACATTTACCAGCCACCTTCTTGTCAGAAGATCAGACACGTTTACCACGTTGAGTGACTGTCAGAGTGCTCCAGGGGTGGGGGGAGTTGTGCTATTATCCATCTCCTCCACCCACAGTCCTTTGCACAGACCTTTCTAAGGCTTGTCAGTTCGGCAAGGGCTGCTGGGTTGAGACAAGATAACAAAGTCTGTAGAGACACTCAACCAGCTACTCACTGGCCACAGCACCTTGAAAGCTCAGCAAAGGCATCACATCTCTCCCCAGGTGGGAGCTCCCAGCACCCAGGACCCATGGTGAGTGAGTCCTGGGTGTGACCTGAGGTGTGTGCACGAGGCCAACCCCAGGAGCAGAGGAAAACATTAGCACTTCCACTGATGTTTACGGGGAAAAGTAAGGCACGTTAAGTGTCAGTGATGCTATGAAGTGGTTAGGACCTCCATCTGGAATGAGGGGTGCGGAGCTGCCCTCAGCAGGTCCCTTGCCTCCAATGTGAGCAACCTGTGGTAGTGTGTGCGCTCTGGGATGTCCCTGATGTGGCTACTGTGATAAACACAAAGTCTTTACAGAGCGTTCTTTACTCCATTTTGCAATAGGGAGTGACTGGGAACATCTTTTGTTCTACCCAGAGGTTCTCTGATTGTCTTCAAAAGAAAAATTTAAGATAAATGAACTTCAAGATGATGTTGCATTTTTCTTTTACAAAAGACTAATGTTCCAAATTTCCTGACCTTTCTGGACCTACAAATGGCCGTCAGTCATATAGTACCTGGCAGTTACTTCAATAAATGAATTTACTTAATCTGTCCCCTCCAAACAAAGTGCCTTTTGGGGGAAAGAGCAAAAATATTTTTTGGTACAAATAGATAACATTTTGAAATATTTAAAAACTATTATTTATTTCTTCTTCATCCTTTGAAAGGTCCTCATCCTTTGAAACTGTCCATTTTGGGGTATATTTGAGAGTTAGGGAGATGTCAGCAAAGCAGTGTATGTATGCCATTTTAAATAGGTAAATATGTAATGGAGGTCGCATGTTTAGGAGGCTGTAGGCAGAGGAGACAAAGAAGTGTCTGGTGGTCCTGTAAGACCTTCACTGTGTCCCCTCCCTGGAGGTTCCAAGTGGAGGCCTGTCTGGAGCCTCCATCACAAGCCTTCTGTGGTTTCCCAGACCCCTTGGAGGTCCTTGCTATCTGGAATAGTATGTCATGGGTGGTCTGTAGGATGTGAGTAGAGTGGTCCCAAGAATTTGAAAAAAAGGTTGCCCTCTGAGAAGGAAATGATAAAATTATTCCCCTGTGAGTGAGCTGATGCATCTGATCTGTAGGAATAAACTAACTGAGCTCTGGAGATGCCCCAGGCGATCAGTGAGTATGCTCAGGAAAGCTGGCCTGGAATGGGGTTGTGATTGGGCAAGAGAAGCCCAGTAACCTGTGCTGTGCCTGTCTGGAAAAAGACAGTGGGACCGAGTTGGCAATGTGGACAAGAGTGCAGCCTCTGGTTCTGCCTCAGACAGTCACTCATTAAATGCAGATTTTGAGTCCTGCTCCAGATCTCTAAGTCAGAACCACTGGTCAGAGCCTGGAAATCTGCACTTGACCAGCCCTCCCAGATGAGTCTTCTGCACGCTCAAGCTTGAGTGTCCTTGGCCCACAGCACAGGCATGGGCAGTGGCTGCCATTGGGACAAGGACAATCAGTTGAGCTCCCCATGCAGGAGTCCCTGCTCTCCGAGCCTGGGCCCCCCTACACCACCTGCCCTAGGACAGGAGACCTTGCCAGGCCAACGCAGATGTCAGGGGTTCAGTAGTTTTTGTCCCTTGGCCCTCTGGTATCTACATTCTTGTTTCCCTCTTCAGACTCTCACGGTCCTGATCAGCACCCTACCCTAATCTGACCACTGTGGGCAGTGAGGTGATCACACCAGGACCCAGGCAGAGGTGAGTTCCCCGGGACCATGTGGGGGTTGTTAGCCACCCATCTCCCTGGGGAAACCTCTGCAGGACCAATGGTCTGTTTCTCCACGGACAGCAACACCTATCGGGCGCAGCACCTAGGTCAGAGATAATGCAGTAATGGGAGACCTACAGGCAGAGGGTGGCTGATGGAGATGGACTCTTTGGCTCCCCACGGCTGGGCCAAAGCCAACTGTGGTGATGACCCATGGGTGAGGCTGCACCCCATTGCCTGCCTTGGTCCTCCAGTGCCCAAGCCTGCCCCATTTGGAGTAGGATCACTCTGACATCCCACAAATCACCTTGCTTCTCTCGTAGTGACTTCTGGAAATTTAGTGCCTCCTTGGTCACATCAATCTCCCGCTTGATAGCATTGATGCGTTGTATTGTCTCACTGGCCCTTCTCCTCCGCTCATTCAGGATGGATTTGTTTTCTTTAAAGATGCGGTTGATCTCACTACCTCGCTCGTTCTTAAACTCCTCGAAGGCCACGGGCTTGGAGGGTGGGGTACTGGGCCTGGAGACAGACGGAGCGACCAAGTAAGAGGGAGAAATGGGGTGAGTACCTTGGAGCCATGGGGCACTTCATCTTCCTTCTCTGGGGCTTCTGTGGGCAGGAGGCCAGGAGTCCTGGGCACCCCGTACCCAGATGGGAGCTAAATTGCTTGGGGATCATTTCCTCATCTCTGTTTTACTCAGTGGGACACATGCCCATTGCAGAAAATGAGGAACACAGGAAAACATGTAAGGAATAGAAAGCAAAATAAAACAAAAACTACTATCTATTGGCAATCACATTGTGGTATATCTTCTTCCAGGAATTCTTCAATATATTTTTAAATGGTTCAGGCCATATAGTATATATAATTTTGCATCTTACTTTTTTTCACAGAAAGATTCTTTCATGTTATTAAAAACTCTTTGAGAACTCTAGTTAATGAAATGTAGGGTGAAATACTGGGACAGTGGGGCAAGTAGACTGATGTCTGCAATTTACTTTGAAATGTTAAATAAGATGGATGGCTCCAAAAAAATAAGATAGATGGATGGAAAGAAAGATAGACATATGATGAAAACTCCACTGCCATCGAGATGATTCTGACTCATAGCGACCCTATAGGACAGAGTTAAACTGCCCCATAGGGTTTCCGAGGAGCAGCTGGTGGATTTGAAGTGCTGACCTTTTGGTCAGCAGCTAACCACTTAACCACTGCACCACCAAGGCTCCAGACATACGATGAAGCAGGTATAAAACCAGTTGCCATTAATGCTAACTCATGGCAGCCCCATGTGTGTCAGAGTAGAACTGTTGCTCCATAGGGTTTTCAATGGCTGATTTTTCAGGCCTTTCTTCCGAGGTGCCTCTGGGTGGATTAAAACTACCAACTTTTCGGCTTGTTTGGACCAGCCAGGGACTCCTAAAACAAGTATAGTAACGTGTTAATTGTAGAATCAAGGGGACATTTTGTATATGCGTGTTCACTGTACAATTCTTTCAACTTCTCTGATGTTTGGAAATGTTCATAGGCTGGGAAAAAAATTCATCAGGCACATTGCTGCACGTTCCAGGGGCAGAGATAATAATTCACTTCACCCTTTCCCTAGTGTTGGATATTGAGGATGTTAAAAAAAAAAAATTTTTTTTTTTGCTTTTGTAATCAATGATGTAATGAACATCTTTTTGCATAAATCTTTGTCCACATCTCTAATTATTTCCTTAGGACAGAGTCCTAAATACTGAATTACTGACTCACCAGGGAGGGGAACCAGGTGGCTGGAAAAAGTGGGGTGGCGGGGGAAGGCTTGCACCCTTTCACACCTTGAGAATCTTGTACCTTTTGAATGTATTACTTATTAAAAATACGTATAAATTTAACTATTTAAATCTTTGCTACTTGGAGCGTATAAAATGATTCCATGTTTAATTATGTATCTTTGATCACTCCGCAGGTTGGACCCTTTTGTATGTCTGAAAGCCATTGTGTTTCTTCTTTTTGGGTTGCACTCCCAGTCTTCACCCCTTCCTCACCTCCTCATTGTCATAGAGTCAATTCTGACTCATAGTGAACCTATAGGACAGAGCAGAGCTGCCCCGTAGGGTTTCCAAGGCTGTAATCTTTACAGAAGCAGACTGCCACATCCTTCTCCCACGGAGCAGCTGGTGGGTTCCAGCTGCCTTTGCCCCTTACTCCTATTTTATATCTCATCTCTCTGTAGGCACTCTTTACATGTTGAGGATCACACTCTGGTTTTGGCTGATCTAGTGCAGGAGCTAACGTTAGATGGTCACCTGGGTGGGCGTAAATCCTCCTTTGGGGAGTCCGAGGGGAGGGGCTCAATGCTGGAGATCTCCCGGTCGCGCAGAAGCATGTCTTTGACCTCCCCATCCTTGGCATATGTGACCAGCTGGGTCTTGGAGATGGAAAGTGTCTCCATGTCCTTGACACTCCCAGGGCTGCTGGCACCTTCCTTTCTTGATGAGGCGCTGGAAGAAGAAGGCAAGGAAGCCCGCAGGCCCAGCCATGGGCAGTGAGGTGTCTCAGATGCTATGGAGGAGCGACCTTCCTCAGCCCTTACTACACAGCAGCCCCACACCACCTCAGCTCCTGCCTTTTTTTTATAATTTATTTTATTTTGGTTGTTGGTATTGAGAATATATACAGCAGAACATAAACTAACTCAACAATTTCTACATGTACAATTCAGTGGCACTGATAACATTCTTTGAGTTGTGCAACCGTTCTCACCCTCCTTTTCTTTCTTTTTTCATTGTTGTGCTTTAAGTGAAAATTTACAATTCGAGTTAGTTCCTCATACAAAAATTTATACATACATTGATTTGTAACCTTAGTTGCTCTCCCTATACTGTAACAGCACACTCTTCCTTTCCACCCTAGATTTCCATTCAACCAGCTCCTGACCCTCTCTGCCGTCTCATCTTGCCTCTGGGCGGGAGCTGCCAACTTAGTCTCATGTATCTACTTGAGCTAAGAAGCACACTCTTCACAAGTATCATTTATGTCCCATAGTCCAGTCTAATCTTTGTCTGAAGAGCTGGCCTCGGGAATGGTTTTAGTTTTGGGCTAACATAGTCTGGGGGCCATGTCTTCCAGGGTCCCTCCAGTCTCAATCAAACCATTAAGTCTGGTCTTTTTACTAGAATTTGAGTTCTGCACCCTACTTTTCTCCTGCTCCATCAGGGACTCTCTGTTGTGTTCCCTGTCAGGGCGGTCATTGTGGTAGCCGGGCACCATCTAGTTCTTCTGGTTCACCCTCCTTTTCTGAGTTGTTCCTCCCCCATTAATACAAACTCACTGCCCCCTAAGTTTCCTGTCTAATCTTTCCAGTTACTTTTGTCAGTTTGATTTCATACAGATAGATCTTAAAAGAGCACAATGCTCAAGGCAGACGTTCTTTACTACTCAAGCTAAACTACTGTTTGATTTTAAGAAGACTTCAAGGGATTTTTTTGGTTTAAAGTTTGAAGATTATCTCAGGGCAATAGTTTCAGGGGTTTCAGCTCTGCCTTGATCATACCTAGGTCAAAAGGCAGAGTATGACTCTAGGCCATGGAGTTCTTCAGCAGTGGGGAGCATTTTTCTCCCTTTTATCAGAATGAGGAGCCCTCTACCCAGTAGCCTCAGCAGGAGGCATTTGGGAAGAATGGGCACAATCTCCAGGGCTTAAAAGCCAGTAACCTGTGGGGTGGGCCACAGGCTTTAAGGAGCCCCCATGGCTGCTGAGGTATTAATCACACAGGCATCCCTGGGAATGATGGCACAGCCCCTTCCTAGGGTAGGGCTAGGTGTGGGCAAATGGTAAAGCAGGACCGGTCTGCCCTGCTGCTCGGACCAGTCCGCCCTACTGCTCGGACCAGTCCATGCCCTGTTCTCCCTACCTAACTCAGTGCCCACACCAGCCCCCAGGAAAGCAGCTGCCACCTTCTCAGTGTGTCCTCCCTCCAGGAGAGGCACATCTTCACAGGACAGAGCTGACAGGAGGATGCTCACAGCTCTCTCCTCTTTTCTTCTTCTTGCAACAGGTGTGGTTTAGGGACCAAGCCTCAACCCATCTGTCATTGCACTGATTACCCGGCAGCAGAACAGAAAGGGCTGAGGTGTGACTGCCCTTCCTGAAGAGGCAGGAGGTGGCCAGGGGCACTCAACAACCCCTGCTACCCAACTCCTGCCCTACATGTGACAGTTTCCTACAACCAGCTTCGTCCTGTGTCCTTTTACAAGTGCTAGTAACAGTAACAATGTATTTCTGTCAAGAACTTTGTGTGCAGGGACTGCATTCACTCATTCAACCTCACGACAACCTCAATGACTTTGATGCTATTACTATTATTATTGCCATTTTAGAGATGAGGAAATGGAGACACAGAGAGGCTCTCATGCCTCACCCAAGGAGAACCTTTGGGCATGAGAAGTGCAGAACAGAGAGGCAAGCTCAGGCATTGGCTCCGGAGACTGTGCTCTTGTCCACTGCTCTACAGCACCCCTGGGGAGGGGACTCATGAAGTGACCCTGGACACTCTTCTCACCTTGACATAAATGAGCATTGCGTGAAAGATGAATTGGGGTTTTCAGGTGGCTCATGAGAGGACCATGGTGGAGGGGTGAGGGAAGGGGGATCACACCGTGTATCGGAGGGCATAATTCGGGAGCGCTGCGTGGCTTTTCATTGCGACTCTACCACTCATCAGCAGTGTGACCTGAGGAGGTAACTTCTCTCTGAGCCTCGCTTTCCTCAACAGTACAATGGAGACCATAACTCCTACCTCTGGGGTTGCTATGAGGATAAGGGTGACACCTGTGCTATGGCTGGTTCAGAACCAGCCCTGGTCTGGGTCCCACAGACATTGTTAGAATTGGCAGTAGTGATGTCCACCATGACTGCCCAGTGGCTGAGACACAGGGGACAGTTCATGTCCTCCCTGTGGACATAGGACCACGTGCTGAGCAAGCAGAGCAAGAAGGTCACTCACCTGGGTGGCTCTTTGAATGCCTTCTTGGACTTGGATTTCTTCCCAGGTTTGGCAGAGAAAGGGGCAATTCCCAGCCCGAAGCTCTGTCCATCAGGCTCACCCACTAGGTGGCCATCAGCATCCATGAGCCCTGCCTGGATGGAGAGGCCAGCCCAGGATCATGGGTTAGAGTAAGTGTTTGGGCCCCTTGGGCATCTGCCGACACCCCACCCCAGTGTATGTGGACCAAAGGCTCAGGGTGAGCTTGTTTGTCCAGTACACTGAGATGTGGCTGTGCTGCCAGCTTCAGGCTGTCCCTGACAGAGCTGTCCCTGACCACCCTGCCAAATGTCCACTTTCCACTTCAATGCCCTTCAGTGATGTGGTACCTCATTCCGTGCCCCAAGGGTCTTAAGGCCTGTTTCTGACCCAACTCCAGGAATTGGTCTTGTTTATTATTAGTCCCATCTCCAATTTATTGAAATCATTTTGAATTTATATGTGGTTTACTCTTACAAGGTTAATGCTCATCCTGGTGTTACCTTTATCTGTGGCAACCGTGGATCTGCTCTAATGCAAGACACTTGCTACCTCTGGAAGGGTCTGGGGATGGAAAAATCTGAGGAGAGTGCTACTGCAAGAAGCAACCCGTGCTTACCTTCTGGACGGCAGACATGGCTGCAAAGTCATTCTTGTCTATGAGTGTGTACTTCCTGCGCAAAGTGGACTCCACTTCCTGTTCCTGTTGGCTTGGGAGAGAGAGTGACAAAACACCTTACACCTGGGGCCATGCTGAACCCGCTGGGGCAAGAACCAAGTACCAGGGTTAGAAATCATTTGGGTGATGCCCCTCATGACGGAACCACCAGAACAGACGAAACAGACAAAATGAGCTCATCGTCACCCCCACCTCCAATACACACAACCACCATCTAGCCCACAAACCTCAGGGCCACCCTTAGGTGCAGCTCCTCTGAGATGACACTTAATAAGGACTATAAGGGTCACTATGAGTCGGAACTGATTCGACTGCAGTGGGTTTGGTTTTGGTTTATAAGCCTGCCACAGGGCCATGTTCCCTCACCTGGGTTCTGTGTCTAACAGGCTTCTCGGAATCATGTGACCAACTTCTGTGACACCACCCAGCAAGAGCTCCTCAGGCTACAGGCATGTCTGCATTCACATAAACCACAAACACCTCCCGGGAGTGGGGTAGGTATATTCATGATGCCCTGCTCTGGCCATGCTTAAGGCTGGCACTCCATAAAGACCTCTTGTCCAACTAATGAACTCAGTAAACATCCCTCAGGGACCAACTCCTCTCTGAGTGGTCCTTCAGTGGAGGGTTGTCCTCCCTGTTTCCTCCAGGGGAACTGAAGGGCAGGAGGATCCAACAGCTCACCCCAAGGACGCTGGTCTGGCTCCTCCCATATGAGAGAGGGCAGGAGGGGGTGCACTTGGAGGCAGGTGCCTGAACAGCCACAGGAAATGAAAATGGCAGCCAGATGCAAGAATGAGGTAGGGAGGGGGTGGTCCCTCACCTCAGCACCACCCGGAACTGGTTGAACACCTCCTGGATTTGTCTGAGGTTGATTATCTAGGGGGAAGAGAGCAAGGCAGAGGTTAGACAGTGGGGTAGAATAGGACCGAGGTTGTGTCTATGTTAGAAGAGAAACCAGGATCCCTTGGCTGAGCCCTGGACAATCTGTCTCAAGAATGGGATGTATGCAGACAAAGTGGCAGCCAAGGCCTTCTCTAGAGCAGAGAAACACCTGATTAGAGTTTTGAGACTAAGTATTCACTGAGGCTATAAAAATCACCTTTTCTAAGTGGAGCTCTCTATAAAATGAAAATGACTCTATAGTTCTTGAAAATACTTACTAAGAAAAAAAATTTACTAAAACATGTTCTCAGTTCTCTCCTGCTACCAAAAGGTTCCACTTGCCATCTTCATATTGAGCCCATTTGCAAACCTTTCTGTGTGGACAGACACACACACCTGTGGCTGGAGAAGGGTCCTGAGCCTCCCTCCTGGCACTAAAATCCCCAGCATCACTCTTGATCAAGGGTCAGCTTGAGGTTGCCCCTGCTGGGAGGCCAGAAGAGTCTGCCCCTTGTAGCCGCCTTGAGTAACAGGCCAGGGGATCTGCCTATGTGGCTCTCTGATGAGGGATTTGATGGCTGCACTGTGAAAACAGGATGCATCTCTCCCTCTGAGGACCCCTCCTAGTGTGGTCGCTGTCTACCCCTCCTTGACCTGCTCCAACATGGGTCCTTGGGCATCTGCCTTGCAGACAACCAGCATGACCACCATCCTTTATGGCCTCATTCTGAGGTGCTGCAGCTCAATTACTCCCAGCTCAGTTCCACCCCCACCCCCACCCCCACTGTACAGGTGAGGTGGCTGAGGTACACAAGGTTGAGTGATTTGCTGAGTTCACTCAAGGGGCAACTAAGCTGGGATTTGATTCCAGCAGCCTGGCTCCAGGGTTCATGCTTATGACTTCCGAGATGGGCTACCTCTTGTACATGTTTTCAAGGTCACTGGCCACTCTGTGCAGCACCCACATTTTTGTGAAACTAAACACGGAAGCTGAGGCCATGGTGGGCTGAAGGGCCTGACACCAGGGGTCCAGCACTACCCTTCCGCCCACCACACCCACTCAATGAGTGATTCCAAGGGTGTGCCCAGGACAGGGGGGCCCAGGTTAGCTAAGCCTGGCAGTCCTGTGAATGGGATCCTTACATCAATCTCGTCCAGTGTCCCCTCCAGGTACCTCCGAACCTGGGAGTTGATCTCGGCAATCTGGACTTCATCCATGGGGTCATAGGTCACAAGGGTGCGGTTGGCCTTGGATAAGGATGCAAAACATGTCAATAAGCTTCGAAAATTCAATCCATTCTGAGAGCTGAGGTAGGGAGGTTGGACACAGGCCCTGGCCGCCCAAGCCAGCTCCACTGCCTTCACCATCGGGTCCCAGTGGAGAGGGCCTGACACACAGGCCAGGTGCTCTGGTCAAAAGGGCAGTGGGGTGAGGGAAGGAAGGAAAGGCCACCAGAACTGGGGCCTGCTGCTGTGGGCAAGGGGGCTCTGCTGGCTGAGTCTCAGCAGACTGTACAGGATGAGGGTGACGGGAGAGGGCGCTGCCCCTGTGCAGCAGCCCTCTTGGGACCATGAGTATCAGACCAGGCAGGCCACCTGAGAACTCCTGCCCCACCTCCTGCCTTCATGGCCCCTTGCTGCTGCCTCCCCTCCACGATCCCCAGCCTGCCCCACCTCCCCTGACCTTGGCCATCATGCCCTCTGCTCCCATTACCTGTACCCACCAGGCCCTTGCCTGCCTACTGCCTGCCTCTGCTCCTGCCCACCTGATGCCTCTATTCTCACTTCTATGCTCTCCCAGTACCCATGCCCACCTGGTATCCCTGCCCCCGGCCTGCCCCTTGCTCCCTCAGCCTCCCTGGCCTGTCTCCACAGTACTCTTGCCTACCCAGCCTCCCTCCCCACTCGGTCCCTCTACCCCCAGCCTCTGTTCTGCCAGTCTCCCTGGCTATTCAGACCCCCTAGTCACCTGACCCCCCTGCCCACCCAGTCCCCTTGCTCCCAACCATCCGTCTGCCCACCCAGCAACCCTGCCTTGACCTCCCTGCTGCCTTCCCACCTAGTCCTCCTGCCCCACTGATATCCATGACCCCAGTCCCCCTAAAGTCATCCTGCCTCCAGCATCATCTTTTCCCCCCAGTCTCTGCCTCAAACCTCTTACCAGGCTGTCATGGATGGCCAGCTCCTGCTTGAGGAGTGCCAGCTCCTTCTCCAGGTTCTTGACCATCCGCTGCCAAGGAAACATAGTGTGGAGGGGGGGACAGGGAAGACTATCAGAGAAGCCATCCTGCCTCCCCTGCGTTAATTGTACAATTCCCCACCCTGTGCCCAGATGTCCTGGCCCTTCCTGGAAATCTCAGCATCTGGATGCTTCTCCACCCCTGTGACGCTTCTCCCACTGGAGTATGTCTAGAGTCTGAGAGGGCCTCAGCAGTCCCCCAGCCTCTGCCTCTTACAGCAGAGGAAACTGAGAGCTAGAGTGTGCACAAGCACCCACAGGGCCACACCGAACCCCAATTCCCAGGGGCTCCAGGCTGTTTCCAGTCTACCAGATCAATGGCTCTCTCAGTGTAGCCCACTGCCTCCAGGATACTTTTCCCCAGGACATACACTTGACCCTCATCCTTTCCAACCATTGTATGAAGACAGCGTAACTTCTCAAATCACTCCCCACTGGTAGTCATGTATGTAACTTCCAAATTTTGCTGCTACAAACAATGCTGCAATGAACATCTTTGTAATATAGCGGTCTACGAGGCTCTAAGTGATCTGCTCCCATTATCTCTTTCCTGCTGCCGCCTCCCCCCCCCCACTCCACTCCAGCCAAATCTGCCTGCGCCTCTTCCTCAAACCTACCCAGTGACTCCACCTCAGCACTGTCTATCCCCTCTGCCTGTCTGTGATGCTCTTCTCCCAGGCATTTCCATGGCTCTTTCCCTCACCTTCCTCAAGTCTTTGTTCAAAAGCTACCTTCTAAATTAGGTGTGCCCCAACTACCCTATTTTAAATTGCAGCCCTGCCCCACAACTGTACTGCTCTTTTTTAAAATTTTGCTTTACATTTTTCCATCACACATATCACCTTCTAACATATTCTAGACTAGTGCTGTCTAACAGAACTTTCTGTGATGACAAAAAATGTTCTATATTTGTGCTGTCCAATATGGCAGCCACTAGTCACATGTATAA